CCATCTTTAATGGCATTCCCACATCACCTTATAATATATATTATCTTGAATAGGTAAACCAGTCTAAGAGATATACTTTTGATTAATCACAACTTAATTTAATGCAAGTGTATATGCAAATACTCTTGTTAAATACTTTATAAATGAGACCAAATATCTGTATTTAGGCAGAGTTAACAAGCTATCTCATTCTTTCCTTTTTTTATCTCATCAGTTAAACAAACGGAATTTTAGTTGGATTTTCTTATTAGATTCAATGTTAGAAGTGGGCAACAACTATCAGAACAATACGAACATACAGGGTCCTTTGTGTGGCTCAAAGGTGTGCTGCACAAATTAATGTTAAGTCAAATACTACGGAAGAAATTCTGCTAATTTATTTGGCGATCCAGATAAATCTCCTGTGACCCACCTGTGGGTCACCAACCATGTCTTTGGGGATGACTGCAGTAAAGTAAGCTGCTTGCATTAGCAAACCATGACTGGCACATCCACTAAGTGAGAGCCCATCAAGCTTCAGTTTGATAATGTGTTCGCCTCTAAAAGCCATTTTTATTGTATAAGCAAAACTGTCCGATCTTACATGTTTCTGTATGATAGTGTCGTAAAACACTAGCGCTCTGTAGCACGGGAACAATGCTTACCGCTTTATTGCTTTGTCTTCTATTTATAAATTATTATCAGGTGACCTTTAGAGTGGAACTTGTAAAAATATAGTCTATTTCACTTGGGTTTATTTTAAAAGATCGTTGTTCTTCTTATTTACTTCTTATGCTCACATTTCACAGAAGTCTTGCATCACATAAATGACTGAGACTCACCTGCAGCATCTGTGCTGTTGGTGATAATAAAACATAATCACCTGCCAACAACAGAGATTTAACATTAGTATCACTTTGTCTGTAGGTTTCTCTTGAAACATGCCGGCCTCTCATTTGCATTTCTTAATAAATTCATTGTTCCCTGTCCTCAAGTAACTGTGCAATGATTCCTACCTCCATGTTTCTCATCTCAGTCCATCTTAGTTCATCTGCTCCTCACCATCCACTGTTTTTCCTCTCTCCCTGCCTCTATCTCTCTCTCCACACCTAATTTCCTCTAACCAGCTCAAGTCAGTTAATCTGTTGTGCCACAGAATTACTGACAGCATGTGAGTGTGTGACAAAGGGACAGACAGAGATTTATCTTACTTTTGGCGGTGGTGGGTCATCTGCAAAAATAATTCGGTTGCAGATTGCAAAACTGTGCTCAAGTTGTATACACCACATTCTTCCTGTTGTTAATTAGCATCGATGATGCTTGCAGTGCAGTACGTATTCACACCAAAAGTGCTCAAACCTAGAGAGATGTGATGTGAAAGAGCATGGGAAATCAGTGGTGATACGCTGTGACGTCTGATCTCCCGAGGGCTTTGCCACACTGTGTGAGATGCTTTCATATCCGTCCCAGATCCGTAGAGGAATCTATCAGATGCTGAAACCAGAGTCCTCATCAGCTCAAAGCTGTATGCAAATGCAGACTATCCTGACATTCAGCAGCCGACATCGCCTTGTTTTGGCTTCGGGTCTCAAATCCTGGTCTGTAATTATTCAGTACCAAGTGGGCTCAGTTGGGTCAGGTCTCAAAGGCGTGTGTGTGTGTGTGTGTGTGTGGACTTGGATCTTAGTTTTAGGCCTAGAGCAACGATATATGTCAATAGTTGCAACAAAAAAAAAAAAATTTTTTTTTTCATCCAATTAGTAAAATTAATCTTTAAAGATTCTGAAAATACCTTCAGAACAGCAGTGCTGTTAAACTACCTTCTGGGTTGTTTAATTTGATTGGCTTTAGAAGCTATGTTTAGTGGATTTCTTGCATCGGTTGTGCAGGCTTCAGCACACTGCCATGCCAGGTGAGCTCATTGCTTATCAATATTACTCTCAGCTGCTGGTTCTCCTCCATTGACTGACCTCTTCCATACACAAGCCAGTCTCTCTTCGGCTGACTGGAGAGACTGTTTAATCGCTGTGAGCCACATTATACACATAAGTCCTTCTTTATGATGTTTGATATGGAAGAACAGGCTTGCTTGTGAAAGGCAATGGACTGATAGAACAAAGGGCGGAACAAGAAGACTGTGGCTTGGCTTTGTGGCTGTAGGATTTACGCCTCCTCTTCCTGTCCACGTGCCACTTGTACCCCTCCTTTTCCATTAATTTCTCCCCAGGAAGCAGACTGTTGACTGACAAGCCCCTTGAGAGTTTAAACACCCTATTTAAAACTCCTACTCCTCATTTCTTTTTTTTGGTATCAAACTGTTTTACCTGTTTTCTATTTCTGACACAACAGTAGCTCCTGAAGGCCAAGCTTTCCCACAAAACAAATGTGCTGGAAATTGTAGAGTGAGAGAAGTGAACAAGGTGACAGACATATCCAAAGGACTGCTCATAAAGGAAGGTTGTGGTTAGGCCACTATTCCATATGAATATAACACTGTTTGAAACTTCCTGTTACCAAATCCGTCAGTCTTCTAACCACCCTAAATGAAAGACAAACCAATTCTTTGCATATCCCCCCTTCTTTCACAGATCCAGCACCCACCCACCCCTTTCCATTTGTCATTGGTCCTGATAATAATCCGTTGTCAAAAGCAGGGAGCGTAGCCTGTAATAAGGGGTATTAACCCCAGAGGGAACAGCTATCATCATGGCTTGGAGGTTCTGCAGAGTACATGTACATGATGACAAAGGAAAATAGCAAAGAAGAAGACCCAACAGGGAGCCTTTTCTCTTGAATAGGAATCTGATTCACACAACATCTGTAGGAAGGATTTGCAGGATTTGTGAGACACTGAACTTCTGTTTGAAGTGTTTGAATGTGACATTACGATTTAGCTGTTCATTTATTCTGTTCCATGAGAGCCTGATCCAGTATAGCCTATTATTGAGTATTTGTTACAGCACCACAACAGTGCTTGTAGGAAAATTGGAAGTAAGGTTATGAGAACAAACTTAAGCATGCTTCAGTTGTCTTTAAAGCTCGTTAAGCCACAATCCATTACAATCCTACGTCAATCACAATCACAGCAAACCCACCTACTAATCGCCAAGCTTGTTTAGAGTATCTTATATTCCATACAAATTACAGCAAAATCATCCATATTTCATAAAAAGTTTGAATCTTGCCTGTATCAAACGTGTGCTTGTCTAAGATCTTTCTCAGCTTTTCTGGCTCTTGTTGGCTTTTTATTCTCACTCACCAAGTCTCTCTTTCTCTCTCTCTCTCTCTCTCTCTCTCTCTCTCTCACGCACACACATACACTTACACACACAAAGGGCAGTGAAGCAGGAGGGAAAAGCAGCAACCTTCCCCTCACGATTAATGGTTTCCTCTTCCCAAACTCCTCTTGGAGGAGGTGGCATCTGCACCGCTACTCTGCCTGTCTCCCTCTTTTCCCCACCCACATCAGCACATAATCACCCACACAAACACACACACACACGTAGATGTTGTCGAATAAATAATTTGCATAAATGCAGTGGGTTATCAGAATAGGACTCATCATTTACCTGAATGTTGCTTGATTGCACATATGCAACATTAAGCTAGCCATCCTTTCTGCCTGAAACTAAACAGATGATCTACCATCGCCCACCATCTCCTGCACAACACTCTACAGGCAAACGGTTGTTCATTCAGTAAATTCAAACGCACTCATTTCTTGCCAGGGTGTGTGTTTATTTATTTTTTTATTTTTTCTCCGAGCTGAGAGATGTGGCAGCGAGCTTCTCTGAACGTCAAAAAGCCCATCAATAATGCACACACAGCTTGTTATAGCTCACACTTACTCTGCTTCGATGGCTCACCAACCTAAATCCCAGCATCAAAGACTAGATAGATTTTGTGTGTATCTCTCTCTGTGTGTGTGTGTGTGTGTGTGTAGGTATGTAAGTGTGTGTGTGTGTGTGTGTGTGTGTGTGTGTGTAGGTCTGTAAGTGTGTGGAGTGCGAACACATGCCAGCACTGGAGTACGTCTGAAAGGCAAAAGGCGTTGAAAGCCTTGACTTAAAACCCTTTCCTAATGGGAAGATGAGTGAACACTGAACAAGCGCTGTGGGGAGAGACATTTGGTGCAGGAGGATTTATTCTCCTGAAAGTACTTTCTGAAAGGGAAAATAATGACAATATAATAATAAAGAATGTGACTAAGTTTGAGTTCAGGGGCACAGGCACTGTGTAAATGTGAGGTAGACCTTTTAATTTTGAACATTTTCTACTTTGTAAAGCATGCACAGAAGGAAAGAGGCTTTCAGTGCTCTGCCCTGCTGAAACCAGCCAGTGGTTACAATGGGTACAGCATGGGCTTCACTATGAAGAAGGCTTCTTTGTTAGAGCAAACAATGTGTATATGAGCACCACTATGCAAATGCGGTATATCCACAAAGAAGGAAGGTAAACGAGTCTCAACCAGAGTTCAAATGTTGTGACTTTTAGCACTAAAGGGCATTCTGCATGTATCACCCAACATAAAAAATGTATGTCAAACTTAACTGGTGTTCCAGTAGCTTACATGGCACAATCCTTGTAAAACGTCAGCATGCATGACTTGTGAAGTTCTGCACATCTTCACACCTCTTTTGTGATGGCTCGGGTCGTGAGAGGTGTTTTTAAACTTAATCCCACAGAAATGGACACAAATCAATCGATTGATCAAAATAAAAAATAAAAACTGCTTCTCGTAAAGAGTCTTGTTGGAACAATTGGATAAAACTCCCGATAAGTAAATGAAACCATGCAGACTGGTAGCATCTGTCCACACCCAAAACCTGCAGCTCATTATGCGTTTGCGCATTTGATATGTTGTCTCCATTTATTACAAATCACCTTCTCACTGAACAATCTTAACTAAATCACAAATAAAGGGTGGGGCGTTGTCACAACTTTTCCACCACGCAGTACTCACAACGAACTTTCCCGACCCTTGGTTGCGCTCTCCGTTCTCTGCGGATGCTTCAACTCACCTGCAGGAGACGGTGATTTCTACTTTGGTGGCGGGGATGTTGCCGGTGATCGGGTCGAAGTCGTACACCGACGACACGTCTTCCAGTTTGTCCATAACGTCTCCCTCCATCATCTCCATCGCCAGAGCTCGAGGTGGCTCGGGTCTGATCCGGGAGCCGCACAGCCTGGCCCTGACGGAGCGCGTCGAGTCTCCGGTGACTCCAGAGACCAGATCAGAGACCAGTCGGCCTCCGGTCCGAGCGGGAGAGGAAGCCACTTCACAAATGTTGAAGCTGGAGACGAGGGAGGGGGAGCACTGAGTGGATACCCGCAAACAAAAAACGCAGAAGCGCACTTGGTTAGTCGTCCATGCAACGTAAAGAAATAATTACCAAAAAAGAATAATGCGGGGAAAGTATATGAGATTACTGCTGCGCCTTCACCGACCCGCTGCGCATCACATGGAGAGGTGGACTTCTCTCGCGCCTTGTCTTCAGTCTGTGCGCACAGCAGAACGTGTGAAGAGAAAAGGCTAGATACACTCCAACACACCCATCCTTCCTCCTCCCACGCGGAATTACACTCAAGTGCTGGCAACCCTGCCCATGCCCCGTTGCTGCTGCGGTCGCCCTGCAACAGCCTCTGTGCTGCTCACTGAGAATGTGTGAGTGAGCGAGTGTCATGCCAATTCAATTACGCACTTTTGTTTTTTTAACGTGTATGACTTTTTTTGGTTTTGTGGGAAAATGTAGCGCTAAATCCGTAAAAACTTTTGAATGCAGATCAACGTGTCACTACAGACCCCTGTGAGACCCTGCTGTTAAAGCACATGGTGCTAAACGGTGTTTGTTAAACTGGTGGACGGGATTACGTGGATTATTTGATCGTTTTATCTCCTCATCGCAAAAGGTATTCATATGGGTGGGTCTGAGAGGGAGGAATCACTTGAACTGCTCTCAGCCAATGACAAGATGTCTCTAGTAGACTGCTTTGCTTCAAAGGGTCGGGGGGAATATTTCAGCACCACAGCAATGAACAGCTCCCAGAACAAACTCAATAATCCAGTAGTGGAAAACCAGCAGACAAGTATCCAGAAAAATAACTGTGCATTTAACCAAAAAATCCAAATTAATTTGGATTTACAGTTAGATTTTGCTCAAATGTGCAACTATTTTTCCGTCCCATTGTGTGGATTTTAGTAATTCTCTCTGGTGGAAGGAGGCATGTGCAAGACATTTTATAAGAAATGCAGTTATCAATTAAAATGTGTTCATGCTGGCTGATTTAAAAGCTATATTAATTACAAGGAGGGCATTACATCGAGATTTAATGGCCACCATCCATCATTGGCCTGTTGTATGCAGCTAAAACCTGTAAACCACATTGTAATAAATATGCTAAACTAGTACAACTGCCTGCCAAAAAAGTGATGGGTTTGTCATTTGTGGATGAGTCTCTCCACCGCCTTACTGTTCATCACACTTGGTCTGATACTCAACATCTCTCTCTTTTTTTTCATGCATAGACAAAGGACTTGCACACATATACAAAATGCATGAAAACACCAGTAGTCATGATAAGCCAAATAACCAGCTGTTTCCCACAGATTGCTGGTTGCATCAGGAAACAAATACCTTTTGACCAACTTGGGAAACTGCAGTACAGTTTATAGTTGCTACCGCCCGTTTGTAAGAAAAAAACGGTGTCATGCCTGTTTCTGAATAATTTAAGGAGCCAGCTTGTTGAGCAAAGTCTTAATAAACAATCTATATCATCTTTGAATGCTATTGCCATCCAATTGTGATGGACCAGGTGGTGGTCAATGCTTTGTACTGCTGGTCACATCAATAACACCATAGGGGATTTAAATATCCCGTTCCCTCCTTCTGCGTCCTGTTCTCTCGGCATCAGGAAGGAAATCACTTTTGACCAACTCGGAAATCTACAGTTGTCATTTTTTGGTCAAAATGAAACCAGAGACATCATCTGGTATCTCTCTGTCTCTCTCTTACCCTCTTACTCACTCTCACAAGCACATCTCACACACTCACACACACACACACACACACACACACACACACACACACACACACAC